TATTTTTTTTTTCATTGGCAGCATGGTCTTAAATTTCATATAAGTTGGTCTTAAAAAGTCTTAAATTTAATTTGTTAAACTCTGTAGACACCCTGAAAAACAATTAGTCTTTTCATATTTTACTGTCCAGTACAGTAAAAGATACCTATTTAACTTCAAATATGCACAGAAAACCCATGGACATGTTTCAGCTTTTCCTTGAGAAATTATATTTATTTAGTTGTGAACACAATGAGAACAGAGGCTAACCTGGCAGTGGGGTGGCTCAGGTAACAGTAAGACTGACCAAATGTCCTTACCTTGTTATCATCTGTTTTCAGATACCTTCTCCAGGTGTTCACCAAGCCCATCTTTGCAGAGGACACCTTCTTTCTTGAGCTGATAGAGCGAAGAGGGGCAACAGGTTTCGGAGAGGGTAATATCAGGGCACTGTGGAGGTCAGTGCAGGGGTACATGGATAATAAGAGGGGGTATTCTCAAGGAGAGACATCCCCAAAAACTGTGCAAACAGCTCAGTAGTGGTCACTCCAAATGTTTCAGCTGAGATTTTTTTTCCATGTTTTTATATATCAATATAAGAGCATTAGGAAAAAAGCATGAGGTTTTGACAAATTTGTCAGTCATGGATTTGGTGGCAGTGATACACTGCCAACAAATTACACATTATATATTGTATTAATATCTGACTTTGAAGGCAGCTAAACAGATTAAAGATACAAAATTGCACTGTGTGAACCAAGTGGAACAAAAACAGATACTTGAAATGTTACAACAAAAATATACTTGATGTAGCAGTAAAAGAATGTCTTTGTTTACACTGTGTCAAGACAGCTGACTGACTTCCTCAGTAAACCTGTTACTCATTAAACTGGGAAAATAAATCACTGTCCTCAAACTATAATGTGCTCTGTTTCTTTAAGAATATGTATTAGCCAATGTTCTATTGAAATCTCTTAGGTCATCCTACAGCAGGTAAATATCACTAGTGGTACTGGTACTTTCCTTGACTATTTTCATTTTATTCCAGTCTTCTGTACTACTTTTCAGAAGTAAATAGTTTTGCTCTACTACAAATACAAATAGTTTAGAAACAATTATATACTTGTACTAATTTATTCTGAAGTTGGCTAAAGATTAAACTATATATAGATGTATTACTTCTACAGCTGTCACTGTCCATGTACAAAAAGACTGACCACTTTTATCATGAACTCCAGACCTTCACTTTACAATATATTTTTATCCCTATAGTATTTAATCTGTAAAAAATGAAACAGTTCTGGAATTATTTATTTTATAACATAAACATAATGACTGAAAAGACTAACACTATTGTGAGCCCTTTTTCTAAACACCCCACTCACACAGTTGTTCATGAACTGTTACTGGAAGAACAGCTGCACCTCCTGCAGATGATGTAGGGGTTTTAGCCATGAATGCTCTGGCAAAAAAGCATGGCTTTAGAGCTTCTTAGAAGAGATCTCAAAGCCCATAGAGATATGCCAGTTCAATTAACTGGGCTGTAAACATTATAGCGAGGATTAGCGAGCTAGATGAGAAGCAGTGAAATTTAGATGGAGTTCGATGAAAGCCATATGCTCTTTTTATGTCCTGGCTGTAGTTACTGTATCCCACTGAGTAACATCAGGGAGTAATTTCAACCACAAGCTTCAGACAAATCTATCTGTAAATGCATGTACTTCTGCATATTGACATAAGGTGTCAGTGTTATTCTTTTACTTGAGTGTCACATTCTCGGTCAATCTAGACTTTTAGAGTTGACTGTATAAATGAATGATTTCTAGAATTTACAAACAAACAAAAATACTACATATAGAATAGGCGTACTCTTCATTCAACTTTGGAAGTAATTCATGGTACAGTATGAACAGAGCTGAATGTTTTTTTAATTTTGTGAATGAAAACAAACTTCTAAATTTCATATAATGGTAAATTTAGTTGGGGATGGAGAGGATTAATTTTTCATTAAAGTTGAAAATGGATGGCTCCTGTAACAGGAGCGCCTTAGCCATCTGTCTGCAGTCAGTGGGAAACACAGATGGTATACAGCATTCTGCAGGGAGTCTCGGTCCTGGGAGTTGAAAGCTCGCTTCCTATTTACTGTTAGCCATATGCTAGCTACAGTTACATTAAGAAAGAGAAATTACTAAGTATAACTGATTCAAGGCTTAGTATTCATCAAATATAAATAAGTTGGTACACTGTAGTTCAGTCTGGTGATGGTTATTGGTGGATACTGCCCCCTATGGTTCTAACAGTCACAACACACATTAACAAACTAGCTGAAATGCATGACTTTTCTCTGCAACTAAGTAGTTTTGATCATTTGTTTTCCATAGAGTTAGCTGTGGCTTTTAAGGCTATAAACTCAACATGCAACCCTTTTGCTTGATATGTATATATGTACTATATATCCCGGTTGTTATTTAGCAGCTGAACACACTTGTGGCGTTCTTTCTGCAATTGAAATCAAATATTGTTAGGATAAACAGCACTGTTGCAGAAGTTCCCACAAATGTGTTGCGCTTGCAGGTTACATTGCTTTCACTCTTCATCTGGAAGGTCGGGACAGTATGCCTGCCGTTCCACCATCTGAAGCTAACCATCTGGTTCTTTTCTTCTGCACAACCTGGAGGCCATTATTTGGTGAACAGGTCTGACTTCCTTTGTTAACTGCCTTTTTCCCAAATAAAGCTTCACAGTCTTTTCCTACACTGTCTTTGTACAGATGGAATTTGTTGTTGTAAGTAATCAACAAAAGTTGGGACACCTGTAGGAATTGTTTACATCAGTTTTTAAAGCTTCATTTACTTCAACTGCTGCAGAAAAGAACATCATATTACCTGATTCGTGAAGAAGGCCTGATTTATGTGAAATTTACATAGCCTAATTTTTTTTTTTTTTTTGCTAAAGTTGTAGCAAGAACAACTTGTTACCCTCACCCACACTGTAGCCTACAGTATGTAGTGCAGAAGACAAATCTCAGCTGCCCTTTCACACAAAAGGCAGACAGCCTAAAGTCAAGGAGGACAATTTGACTGTCTGGGGGAGATTAGTGGTGCACAACAGATGTTACTCCTTGATTAATAATAGTGTCTGCCAGGAGTGAGCTTCAGCTCCCCACCCTTCTGAGGCCCAGTGTGTTAACTTCAATCCCACAAAATAAATGAATTTACTGTCTATGATAAGATGTGATGGAATAGAAATGATAAAATATATTTGTTGAAATTTTCACCTTGCTGAGCAGAGTGTATGGTAAACCTTACCCTTACAATCCAGTTGTTTCCATTTTAAATATATGGCGATACGTTCACTGGCTTATATCATTCTTATCACAAGGTATGAATAGAGTCTAAATATACAGAAAGTTAACCAGCTACTGTACATGAGCAACAAGCTGTATTGAAAATGGCCCCCAACTTTAGAGAGTAGATGGGTTGGAAGATAATTAACAGGACAGAGAAGACAAAAATATCTGTAATATTTACTCTTTTGTAAAATGCAGGTTTTACTCCTTCAGACTTTGAAATTACATTTTATCTATCTCTTTGGTGGACTGATTATAAGTGGGCAGAAGCTAAAAAGGTTTGAAACTACCAGTCTAGGTGATATTAATACTATGTGTAGGTGAGTATTGGGGAAGTTAATAAACTGACTGTTCTATGTGTGTACCTACTGCACAGTATGTGAACAAATAAACCAGGACAGCAATTTGCATGTTGATGTAAGATATGATAAAGCTTGCATTTACTTAGTTGGGGGAGGAGACCTGTTTTTATTTATTTATTTAGGACTAAGCTTTATTAAACTGGAATTCATTTTGTGAGGGAGAAGTAGCAAGTTCATACACAGCTCTCAAGTTATCAATTTGCACCACTGAATATTATTATGAAAGCACCTTGTCTATACGCACAGCTCAAAACTGTGATTACTTTTCATTACTGCAGGGTGGATCAGACCACTAGTTGGAGGAGCGGGGGTGCTACGTGTCATTAATAGTCGTACAGCGATTGAGCGGTTACTTTTTGCCACTACAAGCATAAGCTAAATTAAGCACGAAGTTTTACTGAGTCAAACAATAAAGCTAAAACACGTCGGTGTCAAAGATTTAGAGGCAGAAATAACTTATCAGACCCCCCCACACCAGAAGTGGTATTTCTCGTTTATGTTGTCACAATCTCATGAGCGTGCAATCTTGGACAGCAGAGCAGTGGGGTAATGTAGCAGGGTGCGGGAGCTGTCCGGACCAGTGCGTGAAGTGAACTGCTCATTGTGATTCCTGCCTGACGTCTTGTTGTGTCTTTCTACTAAAACTAAACTCGCCATGGTCCAGCGAAACTAAGCAGCTGCCCGGTGTTGTTGGAGATACGAGGCGCTCACTGCGATACTTGTGAGTGCTCTTTTTTTTTTTTTTAGGTCAAATAAGTTTCTGCGCAAGCTTACTATGACCTAGTTCATGTGATGATCCCTTGTGTTTTGAAAGTGAATATGCACTGACCACTAACAATGTCAACTTTGAGGAAACTAAACAGCTTCGAGTTAGTTAGCCTAGCCACTTTTCCTCATGTGTGCTGCCATGTCTCTTTTGTTTTGTTAGGGTTATAACCTAACCTACATAAACTGCAGCTTGAGCTGATTGTTATCTGATCTTTCTCCCCTTTATTAATTACGCCTGTATTACCATTCAGTAACGTTAGATGACTAAACCGACAGTGGGATTGTATGTTGTAGAAAGGGTTCAGAAAACAAGTGTCAGTGAGTTTATGTGAAGCTTAATAAACGTGTTCATACAAATACAGACATAAACTGAGTTTTTACTCATGCATGGCACACGTGTCAAGTTAGGCAACAGTATAGGACCTTTTAAATAAATGCCTGTGTAACTGACACCACATTATCTGGTGGCCTTGTAATGTGCGTTTTTCTCAGAGCATATTTCTTGTATGTTACAGTTTGTGCTGTTACAGTGGAATGTTGTTGTCTTTTCTTTATCTAGGCTACCTTCCCCTCAGGTATGAAGACAGGGCTGGGTGACACACAATCAGATCCTGCAATTAAAGTGCTCACTGGGATCATATACACAAACGCTTATGAAACCTAAACTCTGTAGATTGTCCCACTGCAGTTCATAAGTGGAATGAACATGCCTACAGGTTGAACATAGCTGACTTACAGTTAAAGTACAGATGGCATACATTTCATATTTTATCATTAGTAGCTTGTGGCCTTTCTCTCCAGTTCCAAATCCTGTTTGCTCTGTAGCCTGTGTGTAACATTCTGTGAGCTCTTGTCGCACCAATTTCTTTGCCAAACTCATTTCCCTTTCATGAGGGATTTTGGAAAACTGGTTTAAGGGACTGCTTGTGCTGGTTACTTGGACAAGCTCAGTTTTCAGAGCCTTTTCTTCTGAAACTGAGAGGCATCCACCTGGAGGGCTGGCAAGTTCATCTGACAAATTGTTGTGCAGTTTTTGCTCAAGTAAAAACAAGGATGCTTGTCAAAGCCTGCAGATGATTCCTCTTTCCTTATTTCGACATCACTGACGATACTAAGACATTTAGGCTGTCTTAAGATGTACTGCATCAAGACATTGTTCAAACACCTATCTGGAAAAATGTTTGTTTCATGTGTGGTTTCAAATGTGGTGTAGGAGAGTGCTCTCCCCATCCTGTCTAATTTTGATTTCAAGCTCATGGGACTGTGTTCACTGAATCTGACATTCTTATTTGGGTCCATTACATACAGTGTTATTCTGCTGTAGAAGTCAAATGATGTTGTGTCTTCAACACTTTGCAATTAAGAGACTTTACTAGATTTAGCATTCAAATGGGCAACATTTCTCTCCTACTTGGACAGGTTTGTTGAAAGCCTCGATTACAGAGATCAACAAAGCTCTTATTCTGGACAAATGTGTACAGTGCAAGTGATTATGTATGAGATAATTAAACAGCAGGCCTGCTTTAAAATGTAGGCCTCCTTGGCTGCCATGCATAGCCATGCTGAGCCTTTGTGTTTATGGTAAGTGGGCAGCTGCATGCTTGTGAGACCTTGGCTGTACCCCAGGCCCTCAACTGAGCCTCATAACTACTATTGAAGCCTCCCAGCCATGCTCATCTCTGACTATTCACTCACTTCTTTAAATGTAGAGCGTGCCTCCTGTTTGACACAGCCTAATGTCTGTGAACATGCAGACAGCTGTGGGCTAGCCTGCACCCTACAACGAGTTTCATAAGTTTTTTTTCAGTCAGTCAGCCGTGGCAAAACTTGGCGGCACCTGCCCTTTGTGGCAGCTAATTAATGACACCACCAGCAAAGAAAGTTTTAAAAATGTTGAATGTTCCTGCTGCAGAAAAATCAGACCTGCTTTGCAAATTTGTCTTTTAATTATCTGGTTTTTATGTTCCCTGCATATATGTCTGACTTTTATGACGTTCTGTCAACACAGCCATCATTAGGACATGAGAAAGTGCACAAGTCCAAATATGGATTCTGCACAAGCAAAGCTGCTCAAAGAAGTAGACAATCACTAGCTTTACAGGAATTCATATTTTCTCCTAGGAAATGTTTTTATAGAATGGCGTGGCTAAACATTTACTCAGCCTTCCTTTTACATGTGGCATCATGGTCATGAAGAGCAGCGCAAAGCCCTCACTTAGGTGTCAGGTCGGGCATCTCAGGTGCTCAGCAGATGCTCAGATTACTGAGACGGTCACAATCCTGGGACTCTTGAGAGCAGGATACAGATCTGACTGAAAATTCAACTAAACATTTAAGCTTTTTAAGTTATGTAAGTTTTGTAGGACTGTGTTGTGTTCCTCAATAACCAATACAAGGTGCAACAATCTTATCAAACACTGTTGTTTCCACCAGCTGTTAAAGTGCTATACAGTGGATTAGTATTGGCTCTAATTGTCAGCCAGGCACAAAGCTGCCAAATCCTTATGTAATGTTGACCTAACCCATGGGATTTACAGTCTGAGCAGTGTATAGAAAAGCAGCTCTAATTAGGAAACAGCACTTTCAGGGGTGACCGCAGTTAGATGCCTATTGTAACGGCTAAGCTGGCAGCCTGTAGTCTTTCTGGACCTGACTATGATTTAAGAGTCCCTGTGTCTGACTTTGATCATGTAATAAAAAACACAGCAGGATCTGTTGAGGCTTTTGAAAACTGAGCTAACTGTAAAGCAGGCCTCTAACTTTATACTTGACCCAGTCGACTCTGTGGTTTCCTCTCTTGTCCTATCTTGTGCTCATTTAAGCTGTGCAATAGCTTGCCATTTCTGACAGCCGCAAAGCTGCAATGGTTGAAAGGCTTTTGGTAACCACAGAGGAAGTGTGGTGTCCGATCAGCTCGTCTAAGGCAGCATATTGTTGTCTTTTAGAAAGGCTGCTGTCACTGCAGCCGCTGTGTTGCAGTCAATCAGCAAACTTTTTGCATGTGATGGAAAACCATTCTATGAGAAACATTCTTCCCCGTCTCAGAAATTAGATGTCTCAGTTGTCACGGTGTTTGCTGCACCAATTCAGATAAAGAGCTATCAGGCTGCAGAAATGCAGACTCCCACAGATTCCAGATAATGGCAGCTTCGTTGTAAAGGGGTTTCAGGTTTTGACGTCAGAAGAGGAGTGGCACCCCATGGGCATAAACTCTAGATACATCTTTTGACAGATTATAGCTTTATGCGTGCAGTATGAGTTGAGTGTTTTGGGTGTATTCATTAACATTGAATATCATGCCCTGGTATGGCTCTTGCATTATAATAGGTTAACAGACTTGTCTGTACCCTTTGCTAGCGCTTCTCAACATGTTTTCTATTCACAAACTGTTGTGTTTGAATGGTTTTCAAAGGCTGTGGGACAAGGAGAGACTTTTGTAATTATGTGTTCAGCTTATGTTATGGAGCAGAGGAATGTTTATAATTATGTTATAAACCTCCATCTTTTAAAGTGCTCAGCTCAGATTTATAGGATGAAAATGTAACATGTGAGAATGGTAAAGATAAATTAAGTAGTGGATGTTTTTTTTTACAGTTTAAAGTCCATGATTTTCAGGCTATAGAATAGAAAAATATAATATGTCCTCTTTTGTCTGGATAAACATCATGTGACAGAGCTTTTCCTGTCTTTGCCAATTTAATTTCTTCAGGGTGAGGTTTTTTTTCCTTTGTGTCAATGTCATAGCATCACCGAGCCATTAAGGGTTATATATAAACAGTAGTTTCCTCCAACCCAGCATGTCCCTAGTTATCTCTGCTGTGAAACACAGATCTGTGTCGTTAATGGTCACGCACAGTATAAGCTGTCTTGACCTATTCCAGCTCCACGCTTTGATCTGTTCTTTTCTATTCACAGAGGCCCCAAGTTAACGCTGCCAGATGTCCTTGAACCGTGTCGATCTCCTGGTAGAACTCTGCTGAAAACATCCTTGCATTTAAGTTGTTTTCCTGATGTGATAAGTGTTAGTAATAGAAATCATAGCAGAATGCAAACACCACCTCCACTATGTCATGGTCTTGTGACGCTCTCCCTCCTCCCTGCATGCACGCTTGCACACACACCTCTGATGTCATCTCTTTTGTTTCCCACGATGTTTCGTCTTTTTCACAAACCCCTCTTTTGTCTCGCATATACCATTCCTTTCTGTTTCCCTTTTTCTGCCTACAGTTGTTCTGTAATTCAGACACTCTGTGACTTTGCAGGCATCATACAAATATCTCGTGTCCACTATGCTTTTTTTCTGTCCCCTACCTGACCAGTCTCAAGCAGAACTGATCTGGTGATAGTAAAAAAATCCCCTGCCATGACTATATAGATTTACATCTGTGGCTAATCAGCTGTTTTACTGTAATTGTGGTGCAGCACTAATGTGAATGGGGTTGTTTTGATAACCGCAAGGTCAGCTATTCCCAGCCAGCCCCGGAGGATTCAATTACACAACTTTGACTTTGCTCTGTTCCTCTCTGTGTGCTCCAGTGTAGAACACTTTGAGGAAACTCGCTCTCTCGGATGACTGATTATCCTCCACATAGACAAGCAAGAACAAACAAGGTATAGAGACTTGTCTGTGGAGATCCTCAGTCAGCCAGGTCACGGTATATCCAAAATGCTAGAGTTGGCAAATGAACCTAGACTGGAGTTCAAGAGCCTCAAGCAAGCCCAGCTGCCAACTTTAGCACTCTGGATAAAGATATAGTGTTCCACTTTTGGTAACAAGCTGGAGAGATTGTGCAGAAGTGAAAATGCAGTGTAATTTAAACTTACAGACAGACATACAGCAACAAAGGAGTCGCTTTGAAAATCAGAGCTCGCTCACTTGAGAATTAAAGGCGCTTGTGAAACCAATGACTTCGTGTGAATTTCTTCTTTTCATCTTTGACTTTTGGCACTTTGCTGTGCGATCCAGCTTCACAGAGCCACTTGCATGGCTGTAGACTCTTATTTGTAACTGCTGGGAATCCAGCTGGCATCTACCACAAAGGAGGAAGCTACAGATGTTTCAGAATAACATTTATCAGGGGGTGAGCATTTGATACTACAAAGCTAGATTTTCAGTTTTAGGGGAGCACTGTGTTTACTCTGCATTGATGATGCGCTTCAGAGACTCCACCCAGGAGATGTGTTCTTCCACTCAGACCAGCCCAATTGTTCTCTGCTTAACATGGTTCACAGGATGTCAGAAATGTACTGAACTCTAATCCTGTGCTCATCTTTGTGTGTTCGCTTAGGTTTGGGATGAGGAGTGAAGGACATTCCTGCAGTCTTAAGCTTAAAAGAAACCAGCCTGCTCACATCATGCCCATCGACATGGCCTCTAGCTTTTCTTGCTCTCACTGGAACGACTTGGGACAAGGATGTGTGTTGCCATGGTGATCATTTACAAGAAAACACTGGAAAAGAAGGGTGTTGACGATGTAACATCCAAAAGTACCGATTTGGGTCTGGTGAGGTTATTTTCCTGCTTATGTAGGCTTTTTTGTGTAACCTGGCCAACAGGCCTCAACTGTGATGAAAAGGTGCTGCTCAAAATCAGGAAATTGTTGCTGGCCACATCACTCTACAGCAGTTTTATGGCTCTACGTTATATTTTCCAAATTTGAATCACTTCATTTTGACTTTTAGCTTCCCCTGAGTCATATTTGTTGGGAAATTCCTAAGTGTTGTCTTACTGAATCTCAGGAAGTGTTGTGAAAAGAATTATTTGGAGGTTGAAAACTGGGAATAAGGGATGATTGTGTTGCAATTACTGATCATCATAATAGCTGCTTGGGCATCTGTCATCAGGTTTTGTTCCATTTACTTTACTTGAAATGGCAATAGAATATTTTAGTTCTACTACACTGAACAAATCTGATTCATTTTCTAATCAGTATTGATGCAGGAGAAACCTTTCTGCCAGCACAGAGTGAGAAAATTCCCCTGCTAGTGTGGACCAAGTTTGTCCTCTCGGCCATGTGAAATGAAGTCATCATGTTGTGGGGCTGTTGGTCAGAATCAGTTATGGTGGAACTCATTCTGTGTTCATGGACAGCACTTGGTCTTCATTTCTCAGCAGCAAAAAAAATGCAACATACACTCTTGGGGCTATTAATACATATAGAATGTTACTTTAAAATAGCTTTTGGTTTTTATTTTCATTTATTAAATCTACTTCTAATGTTTCTTTTTCTGATGAGCTGAGACTGAGTCTGTGTTGTACTTTTGCAGTTCCAGGCACAGACCATGAGCCAGGGGACTGCATTTTTCTCTTGTGGACTCATGGGTAAGTCCACATTCATTTTCATGCATATACACATTCATACATGTAGGCATGATGTGTAGGCATGAAGTCGTAAATATCCCAAGCAGTAATTTAGTAATAGTACATGTTCTGGAGTCAGATGAATAAAATATGAGAATGTCTGTTTTAGATACCTATCAAAACAAGGTACTTCATCACATTAATTTAAAAACTGCCTTAAATTGTCCACAATGGACCGGAGTGTGGATACCTGAACCGAGCCTGACAGGATCTGTCGGTACCCAAAGGCCCTGTCTTGCAACAAACATTGCATGTGGCAGGTGTAGTACGTTTGTGTTTCCTAAGCTTGTTGGGTTTGGAGGCCACATGGTCAGGCATAATAGCTCAGGTTCAGACAGAAATATGCCGCCTGATCCATGCTCTACGATGGACTAACAGCGCCAGAGATATTAAAGGAATTGCTACCTCATACAGACTAGCAGCATCTCTGAGGGTTGAGAAATTTCTATCATCTAAAAATATTATTTGTCATTTGTGGCTTACATCTCATCAAAAACTGGACATGACCTATAATTATGTACTTGAAACAGTCCACAGCAGTTTGTAGGGGCCAGAAAATGTCAGGTGTTTATTGACAGCAGTGTGCTGCAGGGGCTTGTCATGTTATTTCAGTGAAGTTATTGACAGAACAGCAGCAAGCCAGTCTCTGCCGAATTTGATCGATAGACACACAGCATAATGTGAAACGTATCTGACAGATGTTTCTGCTGAGATGAGCAGTGTGTTTATGATAGTAGGATGTTATCATTAGCACAGCAGGAGTGCCATACGCCTGCATGCTTCAAAACTGTGGACGTTATCCTGGAGTTGGAAATGTATTTATGACTACAAAGGCCCATATTTTTATTTTGCCTTGCCATAAAAGCAACAGGTGTAACAGCCTTTTGTAGATTAAATGGTTTTCAGTCATCACAGTAAATTGACTGGAAAAGTCCTGGTAGCAGTACGAGTGTGTGTTGTTAAAACTGCCCTTTATTCTTCCTCCTATTGTACTGTAGACGGTATTTTGGGGATTTATCTCCATTTGAGAAGAATAGAACTTTTACACACCGGGAGAGGGCAGTGGTCTTGATGTTTAGCACCTGACTCAGAGTTGACTGACCAGTTCAGTTGGCTGGTCCATTTCTGTTGTGGGAGTGATATATGCTTTCCTGTTGTGCTGGTGTAGAGACGGTCAGTGATGGCAGGTCATCAGCTCGTCTGATACAGAACGCTTGCATAGCTCAACGAGAAAACAAGATGATAAGCTTTAGTCAGAATGTTTTTGATGGGTTATTGACATTTTATTGAGCCTTGCTCCAGCAGAGACGAGGTACGATATGAAGTCAGACACTGAGCTTTGTTCCCTTTCCCAATCAGCTGTGCTGAGAGGCTATGACACTAACACAGTTCCTCCAGGGCAAGGTTTATTTTTAGTGCAGTTAGATAAAGCAGTGAGTACTGTCAATACAAAATATGTATGCTGGACCCAACATGCTAACCTAAGGTTGAGCAGTGTCATGGATGTTGTCCATGCCAAATGTAACTTCTCATAATCACAGTGTGTGTTGTTCATCTTAAGGTGTTTGCAGACCCTACACAGAGTCATATGTGTGTGTGTGTGTGTTTTTTGTCCTAGTGTAACTTTGACATCATGGGAAAATGCAGCCCTCAAGTAGTGATGGTGAGGTCACTTCCGGTGAAAAATACAGAGTAGTGGGAGTTTTACAAGTAAATACTGAGGCTACTGGGTTACTCCCAACATCTGTTGTCTGATGTTGGGCGCCTAGTTTGGTACAGATGCTATACACACAAAAACATGTTTGATTGGTCTGATCCTGACAGCTCACACACAGTTTCGCTGCATGCTGCCTCAGGGGAATCAAACTGAACTGTTTCAGTGGACGCACAAGTCCACATTTATTTTCTAGATTTGGGCTCAGGGTTTAAACCTGTCTTCTTGTTTTAAAGGTTGTTTAAATGAAATGAATGTTCCTTTTGTTGTAGAGACAAGCCGGTGGTGTGAGGTGGGCCACAGCTGTGCCATAAAGCAGAGGCCAGTTGGGACGAGCCTGGAGAGCCTGTGGGATGTCCTGCCTGGTGTACACAAGAGCTCAGCCCGCTGGGACTGGGACGACGGCTCCACTTCTGACACCATCACATGCCTATTGCAGGACCTTAGCCTGACTGAGGCTGTGTCCTCTCACTCCACCGCACCCCCCAGCAAACGGCAGTGCCGGTCCCTGTCTTGCTCAGATGAGCTTGGTGGATGCCGCTCTACCTGGCGCCCTCAGGGCTCTCGTGTGTGGACAGCTGTGGAGAAGAGGAGATGCCACAGTGGAGGCAGTGTCCAGCGCAGCAGTGGGAATGCGCAGCTCGGCTTCCCGGCCATGCAGCGTAGTTCTAGCTTCAGCCTACCTACCCGCTCCAACACCTTGGAGCTGCCCTGCTTCGCCCAGCATCTCCCCTACCCCTCAGCGTTCACCAGTCTGACACCCTCTTCCTCAGTGCTCCTGTCCCCTGAGCCCTCAGCACAGCCTCTCTACCTCTCCCATCAACAGATCTGCCTCCCTGAGCCTCATAAAGCCTCACCATCCAGCTCCCTTGATTCCACTCCTGAGCTGGAACGCCGTGGTGGACAGGGGGGTCTCGCTCGTAGCCACTCACAGCCGTGCGTCCTCAATGACAAGAAAATTGGTGTGAAGCGCAGGAGACCAGCAGACTCACACAAACAGAGGCCTTCATTGGATCTGGCAAAGATGACCCAGGTGGGTATTTAAAACAAGAATCACTTTGTAAAACAGATGACATCAAGAGACTATTCTATATCATATTTAATCGCCGCCAGCCACTCTGCTAGGCCAATCAGTCTCATTAACATTAGTTATACTCTATTGTTGGGGCAATTTTCTTCTTCCGTGTTGGATAAACAGACGCTTCCAACTAAGGTCATGCATGATTAGTCATTCATGCAGGACTATTCTGAGTCACATTCTGTGAGTATGTATTTTCAATTTCAGAGCATGAAGCAAAGCACAGGTATATGCCCTTTTTGGTAAAAGCAGTAATTAAGATGTGGAGAAAAAAATGTTATGAAAGCACTTGGTTGAAACGATCATGACCATGTTTCAGCAGACAGACTAGTCTGTCTTATCAGCACATTGTGGCAGCTGTTGCCTCACAGACACACATAACAGACGCACAAGTTTCACGCGTACACCAGCTGGATCATAAACACAGAGCTGCACTTGGCCCTGCTGAGAAAGTCACCCAGAGTTCAGTGGTGTCTTAACAACAGCGCTGCTGTGACAAGACAAGCAGACGCCACACACTCTCCAAACAGGGATGAGGTCAGCATAGACAAAAGAGCCTAAGGCGACGCAACCAACAATATTTTTACAGAGAAACGTCAGGGTGCTGAGATTGTTAGCATTGGATTTTTCCTGCTGTTCATGTATTTTGTTTTTTGTTCCTCTTTTGAGAAGCCACCGTTGTGCCATTGGTTTTCAGCTTGGAGAGACGACTCTTTTAAATATCAGCTTACATTTTTTTAAAGACCCATAAGAAATGATAAATGTTTTGACAAAAAAAAAAAAAAAGTTCCGGGTTCAGCTTTTCAAAGTGGGGATATGTTGGTTTTCTTTTATACAAAACTGTAAACTGAATATCTTCTGAAGCTATTTGAAAATGTCAACTCAGTTTTTTGATTAATCTGATTCGGTGTTTAAAACTAGAAGTCTGAGGCATGCTGATGTGAAGAGTTAAATCTCAGTAGAATAAATATCCGCTTGTGATGATAGAGTAAGCTTGCTTGGCACTCAATTCAAGCACTTTATCATGCTTCACACGCATCCCCCTATCTGTATTCAAAGTCACCTTGCTATTCAAAGACTGGTCACCATGATGAGAGTGTCTCTAAAGTGTCCTCTCATCCACAGAGCAGTGTAGTTTACTCAGGCAGAAACTGCTACCCTCTTTGTGGCTCACTTCGGCTCCGTAAATGTCAGGAAGTAGAGCAGCTATGGCAGAGGTTATAGATTGCCGCACAGGGGAGATGCATGTCGGGTAAAGAGATATTGATTTCTGTAAATTCAGCTCAGTGGGTGGATCGCTGCCACAACTAGGCTTTATGAGCTATTGATCAGCTTTTATTCATGGAGCATCAAGGTCACTATGGACAGGGAGTCTTTTTGCCCTCCTCTCCATTTCATTCTGTGTGTGTGTGTGTGTGGTAGTTTTAGGTAAACTGGACATTGGCAGCACTTATTCATGACCGTCATTCTAACGTGGTGCAGGAGTTGTGTGAGGACAGTATCAGAGAATATTTTCTCTGCCTGAAACTCTTCCTCACAGAGTGTCCCCCGCTCTAAAACAGAGCCATAGTTCGTTTGCTTTAAGTCTTATCATTTCAGCCCCATGGTCTGGACCAGAAGTCTGTCTGTCTGTCTGACTGAAGTGCCAGCACAGAAGGCAGCAATGTGACACTGGCCTGGTGCTGACAAATGTATCCACTTGACCAGAGCCAGGAAAAACAGCAGGGTCCCTTGTGTTCCACTGCTGCCTTGTGTAGACCTTTATCACTGCTGCATGGCCAAAGACGTGCAACATAATTTTACCTTTTTACTTTCAGTCTCATCTAGCCTTAATCAAAGTTCTGACTTAGGGGTGTAGTGACGATAACCCTAATCTGACTTATTATGGTCATTATATTTGCAGATCAGAGCTCTAGATGGATGGATAAATCCTGAGTGTGAGAATATTATTATGGCCATAATAGACCTGAAATGATTAGTGGACCAAAATATAATCTATAGTATGTGAAATAATGTATGAAATAAAACAAAACATTTATGCATTCTAGCTGTTCTCTGTCTCCTTATTAGAAACTGAATTATTTTAGGTTTTAGCCACGTTAGCATGGCTGTGCCATACATGGCAGTTCTGGGCAGATCTTATCATTTGATCCAGATCAAAATATCTCAATGACTATTGGATGGATTCATGTGAAATGTGTGGTTTCCAAAAGTTTCAATCCTAACCACTTTGGTAATCCCCTAACTATTTCTCTACTGCCACCTTGATGTTGACATCTGTAATTTTGAGTAAAATGCCTCCACATCTACAGTACTGATTAGATTGCAGGTGTATTTGCTACACACAACCATGGTCCTCACAGGTTGAATTGTATTAACTAGAGATCCCCTCACCATTCCTCTGGTGCCGTCATCAGCTTGAAATTTCAATTTGGTTTATTGTAAAACTATCATTCACATCAGCCTCTGCTGTGCTTTCTTTTTTAGTGATAATTAGAAAATGTTAGCATGCAAACCTGCCCAACTACGATGGTGAATATTGTACACATTATACTTGCTAAACAGTATTGAACATTGTCACTGTCAGTGTTTCAATCAAAGCACATCTGTGGCCTAGTACAGATTCATTAGAATGGCTGTTAAACCTGTTGCAATATAAGCAGCTGACAGCACTTTGGGTATTTGTTTGGGAAAAAAATGATCAATACATGAATCAGTAGTGGAAATACTTCCCTGTTAACACTATTTTCTGTTGTATTTGTAACATCATTCTGGCCTATTTGTCTTGTTTAGAAATTGAACAGGTGCAAGAAGATAACTGTGTAGTGCTCTCAGAAGTTGAGTCGGGCATTGGGCATGTCCTTATTTTCAGACATTTTCTAAATGAAACAAGATTTATACATTTTTAGAATAATCTTTAATTAGCTGTAGCCAAACATATTATACAAGCACACAAGTGACAAGAGGTTTCACAGAGGCCCTATTGTCCTGTGTCCTTCTGGCCCAACACCATAGTGGTTAGGCAGCTGTCCTGCCTTCTCCACATTAGCTGTACAGATTGGATAATCCTCATCATAAAGCCCCCGACTCCAGTGTACACAGCTGCCACAGGACTTGTGGATTTGCCTAAGATTCCCAGATGTACTGTATGTGTTCATTGTGCAGTGCCACTGAAAGGCCCGCAGCGATGTGTGCCCCATGGGTAGCTGCCTGAATTCCCACTGGATCTCGGATCACATAGCCTTTTTCGTCCAACTACCATCTGCTACAATACACAATGTAGGCTAAATTTATACCCTTCAAATCCAGTTACTTTTTGTATTCCAGTGGTTTTTGCCCTATGTCTAGCTCTGACCTTACTGACTTCACCCACACACAGTGTGGCTACAGTAAAAGGATTGTTTTCATAAGATGGCTGTATGCATTTAGTTTTGTTTGTGTCCTAGTTAGGACACTGGTCACAGGCCAAGATGAAGGAATGTTTTTGATTCTGTCAACAAATACGCTGGCACCATGGAGACTATGGACTCCTACCAGACCAAAGATTTGACATTTGTTTAAATGTCTTGTTTCATTGAGAATGTCAATTTTCTGTCTTTCCATAGAAACTTCAGAATTTCCACAGCATTAGCGGCCCTGGAGTCGAAGGCGAAGATGGCTGTGAGTCAAGCCAGGCCCTTCACACTCTCAGGAGTACCTCTCAGTGCGACACTGACGACTCATCTGCAAGTGAACACTGCTTGGAGGACATTCAACTTCAGACCAAAGAGTTTGAGACCACCGGGAATGTGCCGTCAGACCTCACAATCAAGGAGGTGGAGTGGATCTCCACAGACTGCAGTGACGTGACCCCAGGGACAACCAGCAGCAAGGAAAATGAGCCTCTGTGGGTGGGGCTGTGTAGCATGAGAAAGGACATGTATCAGCTTGGAGGTGAGCTCGACATTGAGCAAATTGAGAGGAATTGAGTTGGGCTGCCTTTCTCCTGGGGATGGGGGCTGAAAGATTATCACCAGGTGGTACAGTAAACAGTACTGAGAGTCTTAAGGACAAAGGAGAATTTGAGAAAGACCTTTATGGGCTAAATGGCCACTTTCTGGGGACTTGATGTAGTCAGAAGCTACCCCATCCCTCCAGCTGGTATCTTAACTGTGTCTCAGGAGAACAAGGAAGTCAAGGAAAATGGATTCAGGTGGAAATAATAGAACTTATAAATATAAAAATGATATATTAATGCTGGCTCCGAGACTGGGTTCTTCAATGTTGCTCTGTAATCTTGATTACATTCATTGTACCATGTTCGGAGAGAATTCACAGCAGGTTTGTATAAATTCTCTGCACTAGAAAGTGTGTCTGTTCTTCTAATGCTCTTAAATAGTACAAGGGTAGATGATGGACAGAAATAGAGAATACGGCAAGAGCGTGTGTTATTAAAACCTCTTTCACTCTTAATGAGCAACAAGCTGCAAGCACACACCACCTGTCAAGTACAGTATATGAAAGTACCTAACTTTTCACAGTAACATAAGGCTTCTCTGAGATCTATGCTCCTATTTGTCTGAGAGAAACTTTGTGATGCTAACAGCGTTAACATTCTTTCTTTCTACAATTTGTAACTACAAAGTTATGTAAAACATTTCTATACAAATAAACAGTTTTAATGTGTCATTTGTAATCGCATTATGTCAGCATCTTTATTCATAAAATCTGGGACACATTTCATATCAAAACAAATGAAAGATGCAAGTGGGCATGATGAGATCCAGATTAGCTGTAAGTGGCTCAAATTCCTACAAATACAGCAAAGGTTTGCACTCACTAGGAATTTTGACTGGGGTCTATAATATCCAGTGGCTGACTGTAATGTAATTATGCAGGTACTGCACTTTTTTTTTTTTACTTTGAGGTATTTCTACTTTACTTGAGAACTTCAGTTTTATGCTACTTTACTACATCTTTGAGGAAAATAGTCTTCTCTAAAATCTACAATACTAAAGTTCTGAAACTCAAAAGAAAACCACTCCACCCCTCCCTCCCTCTTCCTGCTCTGTTAGACTCTGCCAAGGTCTTTACCTACAACCTCGCCATCTGTGCATATATGCACATGTATCCCATGAATATATAAAGGAAATTGGGATCCTGGATTTAATGGAAGTTGCTTGGATAGTGCATGAGCATGATTATTAACTTGGTTTGCAGTTTGAGGTGTCATGTTAAGTTTTACAAACATTGCTTACTGTAGTTTTGCAAGTGGCCACTGTGGGGGAAATAAACAATTCTGAGAACAAGGCTTAGTGGACATCTCTAATGCAACAATGCAGAGTGACCCAATTAAGTAGGAGGAAGAGACAATTGCAACCGTAGTAGTGCTAATACTGATGAGCCTGTGCTTGTGTGCTGAAGTAGGGAGTGAGCAGGGAGGACAGACAGACAGACAGAGGTGGCAAGTCTAATTACTTTTTTTTTTTTGATAACTGGTGGAGCAACGAAGCAGCAGTTCACCCCTGAGACCTCCCTCCCTCCGTGCAATGGGAAACAAAAGGTGCTTTTTCTCTGTGGAGAGCAGTGACGTGGGAGGCGGCTGTGAATGTGGGCCATGTGTCAGAGCTGCTGCTCCGTTTGTCTGCTTCCCCTCCCCAGCTCTGGTGCCTGTGCAAACCTCCAGAATTATACCGTTGTTAACTTTTTGACTCACTACTCTAGTATGGCTGCATAACACTTCTGCATGTTTGTTCAGAATTGCAATGATCCTTGTCATTCTTTGAAACTATAAAGGTGCCACTAAAGAAAGTAAGTTACCTCATTAAAAACCAGCTGAGTGATTTCCTTAACCAGCTATATTCCAGGCACAACTACCACAGAAAGAATAATTGTGGGGTTAGATTTGCCTATAAGCGCCTTGCATACTCTTGTTATAAACTGGATTATTAAGGTGCTGCATGAGAATTTGTACGTTTGCACAGTGAGGTCAAATTTACACCGTCACAGACACCTGCATGTGGTACATGAAAGCTGCTTCTTTTCACTGGTTAAGCCCTTTTCAGTTAATGAGTCAAGAAGGAAATGGGTAAACAGAACCATTGTGAACGTGCTGTGGGACAGACTGGCACACTGAAGGTCCCCGGTCCTTAATCAGCAGAGTGACACAAGTGAAAGAAGGCTGTGTTCTGAGAGGAGATAGGACTACAACAGTGAGAGGATGCGCCATGTGAATGTTCTGCACTACACTCGTCCACAACCCCCACCAGCACTGACAGCAGGATGGTGATCACTCTTGAACTGTTGCTGGAGATTGGGTGCAATCTTATCAGCCCTAATGATGGCTCGCATCATTCAGGTTTCAGGCACCAGATGTCCCACAATAAATGCAGGTATAATACATTTGTTTACTTTCCTCCAGTGAGGTTACTATAATAGATTTTCCCTCCACATGTTAACAATTAAAAAATTATACTGAATACTATGAAATTAACTATTATTTTTACGAATTCAATACCAACACTAATATAAGCAATTAACTGAGGTAACACTATAATTATTAGTATTTATAAATTCTGGTAAAAAGGTTTGTCAGTGACTTTCCCTTTCACTCAAAGGAAGGAAAATCACCCCCCCACAACATATCTAACTTATTTTTTTGTATTTAATTTCTGTCTTCCTCAGTAGTGGAACTTTTCAAAAAAAAAAAAAAAAAAAAAGACTACCAATATGCAAAA